TGCTGACCCCAGGGAGCCCCATCCCCGCACAGCCCCCGGTTCTCCTGCCCACCCACCCCGTGGTGCCTGGCTCCACCAGCCCCCATCCCCAGCCATCACAGAGGATGGGGCAGCACCCTGCAGGTCCCTGCTCCCCCTCTGCACCCAAAACCCTGGCTGTGACAGCCCCCAAAATGAACTGGGAGGATGCATGGGAGGGAGGACTCACAGGAGCTGCCCGGTCGCATCCCTCGCACCCGAAGGTGGTGACAGCTCAGTTCAATCTCTGCCGTGTGTGGCAGAGGGGGGAGGCAGAGAGGAGCCGCTGTCTCGTGTGGGAGAGAGCACCCGGCACCGTGTCAGCTCAGCCAAATTAAAAATACTCCTGCAGCCCCCGGGCTGATGCCTGGACGAGCAGATCTGACAAGGACAGCTCCTGTGGGATCTGCAGAGACTGGAGGGACACGGGAAAGAGAAGGTGCTCCCACGCACCAGGGAAGGGGATAGGGCACATGCTGGAGGACCCCAGTATTTCCCTGCTGTGTCCCAGCTCTCCCACACAACTCGGGGTGCTTGGGGGGGGCTGTTCCTCCTCTGCCGGGGGGCCCTTCCAGCACTGCTGTGGGCACAGAGGGCCTGGCTCCAGCGCACTCAGGTCCTTGTGGAGGAGCCTGGGTGGGTAGTGGGCCATGGGTGCTGCTGGAGAAGAAGCCCCCTGAGCTGTTGACATGGGAACCCCCACACATCTCCCAGCCACCGTCAGCTTGCAGGATGCTGCCTCGTGCCTCCTTCCCCTGCACAGCCTTGTCACAACCTTCAGCTGCGTGACTGCAGCTGGCAGGGAACAAGCCTTGAAATAAACTCGAATGACATCCCTGCAAACTCTGGACATGGCCACAACAGGATTACTGGGCTGGGGAGGGGGGGGTCATGCTCATCTCTCCCCGCAGGCGACCCCAGCTCTGGGCTGAGGCTCCTCAGAGCAGCAGCTGAGAAGGGCAAAGCCCTTTTGTCGAGGAGCAGAAGCAGGGACAGGGTGATCTCCCTCTCTGGGCTCCCTCCAGTCCATGCACCTGGTCCTTGGGAGGCAACTCGGCTGCATCCTGCTCCCCGAGAGCCACAGGGAGAATCACCCCACACCACCAATGTCAAAAACAGCTGCTGAGGAGCAAAACTGGACGTGGGTCTTGCTCTATTCAAGCCTCTTTTCCTCCCCCGTCCACAAACATCGAGTCCAACTGCCTTTGGATTTTAATTCCCAGTTTTCCCTATCTGCCAGGTAATGATCTGAAAAATCAGCATTTAGTGATGCCTCCCCCAGCAGAGACTTCAACCACCTCTGCCACAGGTACCAAGGGGCTCAGGAGGGATCTGGGCTTATCCTGACCCAGGGGCAGTGAAAAGGAGGTGGCAAACACTGAACTCTGATCTAGCATCCACTGCCCAGAGCCCTGCCCATCCCTCCCCGGGTAGTTTGGGAGAGGTCAGGGTCTTCTCAAGAGACTGAGAGCTCAGGGGGGCACCAGAGCCAAGGATCAGTTTAGTCTTTATTCTGGGCACTGTATAAATTGTACAAATTACAGCCAAGTCCAATTCATTACAGCCAAGGAGCGGCTGACAGAAATAAAAAGGGAGAAAAGCTCCTCAGATTGATGCTTTCTCACCATTCCAGTGAAATAACCAATTTGGAACAAATTAGGGGCTCCCGTCTCCACCAGCCTTTTGAATTGCCTCCAAGCCAACGCACATTTTTCACAGAGCAGCATTTCTTCCATTAGCAGTGAAAATTAATGATTTCTATTATTGAAGCACCTGAAGGCAGGTACCTCCCTCGCACAGCCGGGACTGGGCTGGCACCGAGCCCCCAGAGAGCCAAGAAGAGCCTCGAGGAGACAGACAGGTTCAGAGAGGATAAGGGACATGGCCAGGGCCACCCAGCAGGTTGGTGGCAGAGCCAGGCTTCAGGCCGGTGGCCATCCCCTCTCAGTGGTGCCATCCCAGATGTGCCACAGCGATGCACACAGACCACCACAGCGACAGCCAAACCACTGCACGTGACTGTGCCACAGCTGCCCTCAGCAACCCCCCCCAAGCAGTGAAACCACGTGGGCTCCAGCCAGTCCCAGCTTTGCTCGGGAAGGGAGAAAAGGGGAATTGCCCCATTTTCAGGGGAGCCCACCAACTCACACTTCAGGGGAGAAAGTCCTGAGGGCCCAAGAGGGCTTTTAAACCCCAATCCACTCACATATTCCCCCTCTTAAGTTTCATAGCCCTTTGCCTCTCCCCACCTGCTCTCTCCTCCCAGCGTTATTCCCCCAGCACAGCTCCATCGAGGCTGCGCCGATGGGCTGAAGTGTGTAAGCCCTCACCATGGCTGCCCCCCAGCCAGGCTGGTCATGATCAGGGTTTGGAAGATGACACACATCCGTCATTATTTTTTAATTAGATTTTTATTTCCTACCTCTAGTATTTCATTGTAATTTCCGCCACTCCTACCCAGGCCACGCTAATATAATCACTCCGGCGGAGAGTGGGAGCAGCCAGCCCACTTGTTCCAACATCCCGCTCAGGAAAGGCAAAAAAAAAGCAATTTGCTAAATCCCCAGCCCCTGCAGTCATTACAAGCTCGAGGACATCAGGTGGGTGCTGGAACAGACCATCAAAGCATCGGTGCTGGCAGCACCTGCCGGGAGCATCAGCACCGAGAAACTTCAAAAAGAAGTCCATGTTTGCTCAAAATACTTGTTAGCAATTCATTATTGCAGGTGAGGCATAATTAAAAATGGGCTAAAGAGATTTGTGAATTATACCCTCGGTTTGATGCTGGAGATGCAGTGATATTTTCTAGCCCACATCATCCTGGAGGTCAAGATTAGATGACAGCTTGGTCTAAAAATACTCTGAAGGGTAGGCTGAGGCTGTTGGAGGAGGTTGGAGCCCCCTGGGCCCCCCCACCAGGTTTCACTCAGGGTTGAAACCAGGGGACAGATGTTTCCCCCAGGACATTGCTTGGAGCAAGCCCCAGTAATAAAAACAACTGCTGCATTTACAGGGAAAATTCACCCAAAACAACTGCAGAGAGAACTCCATCCCACCATCTGCCAAAGGAGCACCAAAGCCAAATCCCACAGCTGAGTGGGGCCAGGCTCCCCTCACCATTACCCCCCACAGCTTCCAGAGGGCTGGAATCACCATGCAAGCCCTATACAACCATCACGTTCCTTCACCCAGTTACATGGTCCCAGCACAGGATTGTCAGCAAGCCCAGAGCACTACGGGGTCAAAATTGAAGCCTTAGTGTCTATTCAAGATTTCCTCCACATCTGAGACCACAAGGTGAAAAGCAAGCTCTGCTGTTGGTTTTTGTTTGTCTTTTAAACCTGCTTTGCCTGACAAGTATTCCAGATAAATATCCCGAGTAATGTTACACGTTCCAGAGATACAAGGAAAGAACAGCTTGGAGAAAAGATTGTGTTTCAAACTATTAGAAAAATTAAAGTGATCCACGGGAGACAGCTGGGGCTGCAGCCACCCCAATGTGGGCACTTCAGCGCGGCCCTGACCGATGCACCAGACCAATGACATCCGTGTTCCCGGCTCCAGCGGCCAGAGGCACCCACAAGCACACGCCAGTGACATGTTACCAGAGGAAAGCGAGTGCACGGCAGCCTGCAGACGTGCCCACACTCACAGGGATGTGCACACCACACACGTATGGACACGCATGGAGAGAAGCGGCGCCGCTGCCCACAGGGATGTGCCAGACCCGTTGCTGCCAGAGGCCAGGGCCACGCTCCCTCCCCAGCGCCTGCCACAAAGTTAATGCTGATAATACCAAAACCACTAAAATTACCAGCCCTGAATCCACGTGAAACGGGTCCAAGAGCAGCGTCATGCTCTGTTTGCTGCCGCTGCTCCGCTCCTCAAGCCCGTGATGGCCAAGCCTGGCCACGGAGCTCCACCACCAGCCACCTGGCCACCCTCGCCAGGACACTGCCGGCCGCTCCCCGCAGCCTCATTTCACACAAAAAGCACCAAAACGTTTGCATCACAGTCGCAGCAGAAACACAAGTTGGAGCTGACACCCGGATAAAGAGCAAGGGCAAAATCCAGCCCCGTCAGCACACAACCTTTTCCCTCCTCTTTTTGCAGCCCTGGGAAAAATCAATAAGATGCAGTGAGTCAAACTCAGCTTGAATCCCGTAAGTAATGAGGATTAGCAGGCTGGGAGCCGAGGGAACAGGCTGCCTGTGTGCTGGGCAGGGAGGGACCATTTTGTGGGTGTAGGGTACAGCCTCAGCTGAGGCAAATAACAAGAACAGCTCTTTAACGGGTGTTTTAGGCAGGACGGCAATAGGGAATAGGAACGACATGATTTGCTTAGAAACAAGAAAATCTCATGAGGGTAACGTGGGATGCCAAGCCCTGCTGGGAGCAAGATGGGAACCCCACAGGTGAATCAATATTTGAGTTTGATGCCGAGCCCATTCCTAGTCCCTCATACAAGCCCAGACTCTTCAAGCACCGCGTATTCCTGGGGCTCTTTCCCGGCGGTAATTAACCCACCTCAATGTTTCACTGTTCAGAGTTAAGTTTGTGGCCAAAATCTCAAAGTGGAGAAGAGACATGGACACACACAGCCTGAACATAGCTACCAGCAAAATAAGAACCGATTCAGTGTGTTTCTGCCCATAAACAACAGCCTGGACCCTGATGTAGTGCCCTTTTCCCCAGCTGAAGGAAGTCGGCAGAAACCGGGAGCGCTCGAATCACGGCCGGAGCAGCCCCGGGACAGTGGCGGGGCTATACCCCGATCCCCGCCGAGCCAACCCCACCGTCCCTCCGACCCCCGCCCGGCCCCGGAGCCCCGCGGCTGACTCGGTCCCGCTGCACCGTCGGGTTCCCGCTGCCCCGGGCAGCGGCTCCGCCAGAGGCGAGACGGGGGTGAGGAGGCGATGGGAGGAGAGAGAAGGGGGGCAACGGGGAGAGATGGGGCTGCGGGAAAGTTGCGTTTCACCCACCTAGAAGCATTTTGGATGCGGCTGCGTCGCCTCCGCGCTGCCGGTGCCTCCCGCTCGCCGGGCAGAGCTGCGGGCAGGGCCGGGCGGGCGCAAACCCCGCTCCGCCGCCCAGCGCTGCCGCCCCTCGCCCCGCGTCCGGCCCCGCCTCGGCCCCGCCGGAACGCGGGGGGAGAAGCTGCCGGAGGTGCCGGGTATCGGCGTGGAAATGGGCGGGGGGAGCGGGCGGCCCCCGCCCCGCACAGCCGCCCCCGCGCCGGGGCTGCCCAAGCACCGAAACCTGGGGCGGGAGGAGGGAGCTCTCAACTGCTCCGCTGCGCCCCCGGGGCTCTGTCCGAGCGTCCTCCAAAGGGGCTGCTTTGGGGTGACACCTGCCAAGGTGCCCCCGTGGGTCTCCGCCGCGGGGTTTGCTCAGGGAGGGGAGACAGAGGCAGCCACCCACCCCGACCCCCGGGAAAGGCTCCTCGGCAGCAGGAGCCGCGTGTCGCTGCCTGGTGGCCACATGTCCTTGCCCGGTGTTTGCGGGTCCCTGTCCGGTGCATGTGGGTCCCTGCCCAGCTCAACACTGACCCCAAGCACTTGAAACACTCAGGGCCGACCCAAACATGGCATCAGCTCATGGGGTGACATGAGTGGAATCGGGAAGCCTGATCCGCCTGGGGGGCTCACCCGAGCCCCCCATGATTGGGGTTTTCATGAGCCCAGGGCCTGCTGCCCGCCCCATTGGTTCGTTAGCAGAGGCTGTGGCAGTTGGGCTCCCCATGGCAGCACCTTCTCTGTGCTGATTTTTGGCCTCTTCTCTGTAGGGGAGACTCAGGACTTGCTTACATTAGTGCCCTTTAAACAGGGAAATGATGAAAAACGTGCTTGTGAAAAGAGGAAACAATCGTCTCCCCCCACTCCTTGAAAGGCAGACAACAACAAGGAGGGAATTGAATACTTCCCTCAAGTCAAACAATTCAAGGAGTTGGGCAGAAACTGCTGGGCCACAAGCAGCGTGAAAATGAAGATGTTAAACCACAAGATGCTGAAGTCCTTTCCCATGTGCCACAGCCAGACCAGGCACTTTTGGGGTAAATTACAGAATTTTGGTGCACCGAAAAGCATCTAAAGCCATCAGGACTTCCCCTGGGTGCTGCTGCCAGACCAGGGCACCCCAGGGGTCCTTCTCCCAAAACCCACCCAGGCTAGGCTGGCACCGGGGCAGCCCTGGCAGAGCCCTGGGCAGGGTGTTGCTGTCGGGGTCGTTAGCGGCAGCAGTAAGTTTAGCCAGGGCAGTCGCTAATCTGGGATTGACAGCTGGCCCTGTGTGCCTGGCCCTGGCCTCCCGCAGGCTATTTAAACCCAATATTAATTTGTTTAATGTCATCAGCAGTTTGGTGTTACTGCAAGGAGTGTCGAGCAGAGAGAGCACGGAAGTGTAAAGACTGGGAGGAGAGTGGGGCTAACAACCATACAGTGGCTGTTCTCCTTTCCCCTGGGATGACCACAAGCCATGAGCAAGTTTGGCATCTCTTGGCAAAGACCAGCTGGACCAATGTACAGCCTTGACCTCCCCCCTCCGTCCTCCATCCACCCTTGCCCCCATCCCTGACCAGCCCCTTGAGGTCTACCCATCAATTCCATCAATAAATCCTCTCCCAGCTCCATCTGGTGCCGTGCTCATCCCAGCTGGGCGGGCAGGTCCTGGCTGGCACTGCCATGGCTGAAAGGGCTCGAGCTGGTGTGACACGAGGAATGGCGGCGTGGGACGCTGTGCTCCTTTGTGGCCAAGCCTTTGAGGCCATCTGGAGTAGGGGCTAATTGCAGGTGCTGATTACAGCCCCTGCCATTAACGCCTCCGGCCCTCCCTGCCCAGCCCAGCAGATCACTGGAATTTCCCAGCGCTGCAGCGTGGGTCCGGCGGGTGCATAATTTGCTATATTTGTCCATGGACCCTGGTGCTGGCACACGGGGCAGCAGCACAAACCCTCCCACAGGGCCCAGACCCTCATCACCCTCCTGGTGGTGCTGTCAGCTGCTCCATCCCCCTGGGAGCAAAGCCCGTGGCTGCTGCTCCCCACAACCTGCACTGTGGGACGGAGCTGCTGGAGCACCTTCCCCAGAGCAGCTGTGAAGGGTGCCTGGGGCCGTGACAACCAGCTCCACCATCCCTGCATAATGCTGTGTGAGGCCCTAAAAAAAACCACAGCCAACAGTGGGTCACATGCCACAAGCCCCCGTGGTCACCACTTTCCGACACAGGTTGATATCCACACGCAAGGCCCTGATGGTCGAGTGTCCTGAAAGCACGGGGACAGAACCAGAGGATTCCTTGTGGAAAGGCCCCAGCCCCAGCCCTCAGCGTGCAGCTCATCACACATGTCCTGGAAGAGGCAAATCCCAAACATGCAGTCAGAGGAGAGCGTTTGCCAGCAGCCACCATAGAGCTGGACTTGCTTGGGCAGGTCTGCTCAAGCTGTGCTTGTGGCTTAAAGGGAGAAGAGGGAGGGCAGGGAGACAGGGAGGGTGCTCAGGCTCGGTTTGGGCACAGACTGTCCCTAATGTCACCGATTCACTGAGCTCTTTGTGAGGAGAGGCTCCAGGAACTACAACAGAGAGATTAATCTGAACCCTACTGAGAGCAGTGTTAGGCTCTTCACTAGCTGAGAGACATCCAGGAAAGGCTCTCCCCAGCCTTAGACTCCAGTCTGGCAAATAGCGACTGGAATTGGGCAATGAACACTTCAATAAAGGAGAAGGGAGACAGAGGGATAAAAACCCAGGAAGAAGCCCTCCCCCCCTCCCAGGTCTGCCAAGCCCTCCAGAGCCTTTCTGGCTGACTTTGTTCACTGAGGATTTAGGGTATAATTTGGGGGTGAAAGATGCCAGATAGGATCAAGACCGATACACCTGGAGGACATGTATCAGTTTTCTTCTGCTCTGTAACCTGAGCCCTGTCAGGAGCAGAAGGCTCCGGCTGGAGAAGCCGCCGGCACTTCATCCCTGCTGGGCCAGGAAGGCGGGTGCTGACCTTTCCTGCTCCTGAGTTTGCTCAGGATTAAGGTAACATATTTTAAGGGCTGAATCCTCCCCTCGAGGGGTTCCCACACAAAGAGGATGGGGTTTGCAGCTTGGGTCCCCCTGTCATTCGCCTGATAAACAGGAACTCGTTAAACCGCCGAATCCACAGTGCCCACCCAGATCCTGTTTTTTAATTAATCCCCAGGTTTTTTTATGACTCCTTCTTGAAGATTTCTGCTTTTATGCATCTAAAAGGAGCAAACTGGAGTGCCATGTGTCTTTGGAGGGGTCTGGGGGACACATCCCCAGCTCTGCCCCCCAAGGTTGAGCTGACGGTGCGGGCAGGGCTGTGGGAGCAGAGCAGGGGCATTGTGCCTCCCATCTTAATCATCTTTCCCAGAGAGATGGCTAATTAAAGGCATCCAGGACAGGTCTGCGAGTAGGGTGGAGAAACTGGATGACCTAAAAATATTTAATTATCAGGAAAAGGGGAAGAAATTACACCTGGAAACAGTTTCAGAGAGAGAATGTAATATTTTCCCTCTAATCTAGGAGAGCCTTCCTGTAAGGCACAGAGTAGAGGGTTCCACCTGCCACCACACTTCGGTTCCCACCAGCCCTGTGCAGATTTTCTGGGGTGCCACAGGGCTCATGAGCCCTCATATGGATTCAGCTGGGGGTTGGCATGTAAACCAGCTACCCAAAAACTTCTGGATGCTTATTTAGCCAGGGGTGACCCAGCTCCAGTCTCACCCGCCAGGTCCCTGCTCAGCTCTGGCCCATCAGGAGTTGCCAGGGCCAGGGAGCTTTCCTGGGCACACACTCGGGTGCCACGGCACAGAGCACACTAAGACACTCCCTGTGGCATGGCAACGGCCAAATAAATTGAACTATTCCTCATAAATCTGTAACTGTAGAAAATACCAAAGGTGAGCTGGAGCAGTGTTGTGGGTGAGCTTTCCAAAAGCAGCAATAACTCAGGGGCAAGAAAAAAGAAGGGAATTGAATTTGAGGTGAACAGGCAGTGCCTGCAGGCAGAGGCAGCCCTGCTCTGACAGCTCCAACAGCTCCGACAGCTCCGACAACTCCAGGGCCCCAATTCAACTCACATGCTCCAAAAGCAGAGAGGTGAGGGCAGCCTGGGGGGGCTGCAGAGAAAGGCCACAGTCCTTGTGCTGAAGGGACACACGGCTGCACACACTGGTCCCTCACAGCCAACTCCTCCGGCACACCCGGCTCCCCACTGCCCTGCTCCCAGCTCTGCTCCCAGGTCTGCTCCCAGCTCTCCTCCCAGCTCTGCTGCCAGCCCTGCTCCCAGCTCTGCTCCCAGCTCTCCTCCCAGCTCTGCTCCCAGCTCTCCTCCCAGCTCTCCTCCCAACCCTGCTCCCAGCCCTGCTCCCAGCAGCACCGGGACCAGTGAGAGGGGAGGTCCCCAGCCCTTGGATGCCTGCTGCCAACCTCAGGCTGTCCCCATGGCTCCAAAGGCCAGAATTCCATTTTCTCCCTCTGCACACCCGCGCTGACACCATGGGGTTATAGAAAGGAGAGCTCACTCCGGGAAAGAGGCAGAAGCATGACGAGGGGAGATCATCTCTTCAGAGAAAATTTTATATTGCTTACGACTTACTGTCTGGGAACATAAAACAGTTTAAGCAGTCGACCCTAAATCACAGTGACAGCTCTACACTACCCACAACCCCTCGCTCGCCCTCCCCCAGCTCCCCCCGAGCTGCCTCCGCTCCCCATTCGCCCGGTTCCAAACGCTCACTCCTCCCGTGTCCCCGGGCGAGCAGCACACGCGTGTGCACAACACAGAGACACAGTGGTACAGGGAGGGACCGGGGCTGGAGGCTGGAGGGGATGAGCTGCATTTCCATCATGGAGACCCCGGACAAGTCACCTCCCCGTGGCTGTCACCCCTCCCTGGTGCCCCCAGTCAGCCCCGCTGCTCTTTGGGACAGCGCCTGGGCACGGGGAGGCCGCACAGCCCTCGCACGCACAGCCGGGCACGACCTGCTCTATCCAGCACCTCTAATCCCCAGTGACAGCTGGGGTGGGAGCGGGATGCTCCGGGATG